ATATATATATATATATAAATAATAATTCTCTCAAATATGATAGAACTAGTTGGCACTTGGCTCATGGTGCTCAAATGCTCAAAGCGCCAACAAAACAAAACATTTCCAGAAATCATGACCTGATTACTCAAGATAATCCACAGACCTTGTTAGCAGTTTCATGTTTTCTTTTCTTAACTACACCCGCCACACAGAAGGAACATGCATCTATTGCTAGCTCACTTAAAACCACTAAGCTAGTTATTATAAAAGCTTAGCTGAGGAAGACGTCTTTAATGTAGATGGGGCCATTCACATTTTTGCATTGGACAGTTTCATGTATTAAGCAGCCCATCCGCGAATAGCAGTGTCAGAAAAACACCATTTTTTAAATGTGAAACTGCTTGACTTTGTGTTTTTACCAGGTTATATCACCTGGTCCATTTGTTTACGGCAGAAAGAGACCTCTGCAGGTATTTTGGCTCCCAGTTAAAACTTCCTGAGCAATGAAGACTGAAAGAATTATAACCAGAAGAAGTTTCAGCTGGTTGCAATCTGCAATCCTCACCACTAGATGGCACTAAATCCCCCTAAATCGTACACACTGGACCTTTAACATACAGTCAGGTCCATAATTATTTGGACAATGATACAGTTGTCTTCATTTTGGCTCTGTACACCACCACAATGGGTTTTAAATGAAACAATTAATACCTGCTTAAAGTGCAGACTCTCAGCTTTCATTTAAGGCTTTTTTCAAAAATGTTGTATGAACCGTGTAGGAATGACAACCATTTCTTCACACAGTCCCCCGACTTTAAGGGCTCCTAAGTATTTGGACAAACTAACATAATCATCAATTAAACAGTCAGTTTTAATACTTGGTTGCAAATCCTTTACAGTCAATGACTGCCTGAAGTGTTGGACACGTAGGCATCATCAGATGCTGGGTTTCTTCCCTGGTGATGCTCTGCCAGCCCTTTACTGCAGCCTTCTGCACTTCCTGCTTGTGTTTTGGGTGTTTTGCCCTCAGTTTTGGCTTCAGCAAGAGAAACGCATGCTCAATTGGATTCAGGTCAGATGATATGACTTGGCCTTTGCAGAACATTCCACTTCTTTGCCTTCAAAATGTCTTTGGTTGCTTTTGCAGTATGCTTCAGGTCAATGTCCATCTGCACTGTGAAGCATCGTCCAATGAGTTTTGAAGCATTTGGTTGAATCTGAGCAGATAATGGTGCCCCAAACACTTCAGCTTTCATCCTGCTGCTCTTGTCAGCAGTCACATCATCAATAAATACAAGAGAACCAGTTCCACTGGCAGCCATACATGGCCATGACATAACAGTACCTCCACCATGCTTCACTGATGAGGTGGTGTGCTTTGGATCATGAGCAGTTCCTTCCCTTCTTCCTTCTCTTGTCTTCCCATCATTCTGGTAGTTGATCTTTGTTTTATCTGTCCATAGTATGCTGTTCCACAACTGTACAGGCTTTTTAGATGGTTTTTGACAAACTCTAATCTGGCCTTCCATTTTTAAGGCTAACCAATGGTTTACATCTTGTGATAAACCCTCTGTATTTATTCTAGTGAAGTCTTGTCTTGCTGACAAGAGCAGCAGGATGAAAGCTGAAGTGTTTGGGGCACCATTATCTGCTCAGATTCAACCAAATGCTTCAAAACTCATTGGATGATGCTTCACAGTGCAGATGGACATTGACCTGAAGCATATTGCAAAAGCAACCAAAGACATTTTTAAGGCAAAGAAGTGGAATGTTCTGCAACGGCCAAGTCATATCATCTGACCTGAATCCAACTGAGCATGCATTTATATTGCTGAAGCCAAAACTGAGGGCAAAACACCCAAAACACAAGCAGGAAGTGCAGACGGCTGCAGTAAAGGGCTGGCAGAGCATCACCAGGGAAGAAACCCAGCATCTGATGATGTCTATGGGTCCAACACTTCAGGCAGTCATTGACTGTAAAGGATTTGCAACCAAGTATTTAAACTGACTGTTTAATTGATGATTATGTTAGTTTGTCCAAATACTTAGGAGCCCTTAAAGTTGGGGGACTGTGTGAAGAAATGGTTGTAATTCCTACACGGTTCATACTATATTTTTGAAAAAAGCCTTAAATGAAAGCTGAGAGTCTGCACTTTAAGCAGGTATTCATTGTTTCATTTAAAACCCATTGTGGTGGTGTACAGAGCCAAAATGATGACAACTGTATCATTGTCCAAATAATTATGGACCTGACTGTATGTGTGTCCCAGAAGTGTCCAAAGTGCCTGCTCTGCCTTTACTGTGTGACACAGAACAAAGCATGGAATGCTCTTTAATGTCCCCTCTTGTTTCCTGTTTTTCTCGGCACTTCAGACCTTCCGCATCAAACCCCCGATGTGCATCACAGTGGAAGACGCTAATTTCTTCCTGGCAGTTTTTAACAAGTCCCTCCACAACTACATGGAAAAAAGATGAAAGTCACATGAAAGTCAGTTGGATGTCATTGTTCTAAGGACCAAAGCTGGAACCCCTTTCAGCAGTGAATTGCATTTTGTACATCCTTTAAAATGTTATACATGTCAGTATCAATCATTTATACTACCTCTGCTGTTGCCTTTTAATAGCAATTTTAAAAGGGACATTTAAAACTATGTTTAACTGTGTATTAATTAGAACACTTTACATAACTCACTAGTTAAATGAGAAAATAATATTGTAAAGTGCCTTTCTAACAACTGACTTAAAGTTCATTTTGCCTGTTTTGGATCTGTTGAATCATGCTGGGATGTAACATAGGCCTATGATTGTAATTTCTGGATACATGATTTGTTGCTGATTATGGATGTGAATGTTACAATAATAAATCTGAGCTTCAGGAGCAACCATTTGTACTTGTACACATTGTTAACACCGCCCCCTGTGGGTATTAATTTTCTGACAACCTGCTGCTCTCTTCATCAAAGCACAGTGACACTTACCACACATCAAACTCCCACTCACTTCAGAGTGAGGTAGGTGTCTTCTCTGGCCTCCAACAGGAAAGAACCAGCACCAACCACCCAAACACATCTGGCCTTCTTTCTCACCTTGGTCAGTGAGCATGTAGTGGATATCTAGTAAATCTCGGTGCCAGTAGTTATATATTTATCTGTATGACGTTGCAGACAAGTAATTGTTTTGTGGGGTGACGGTGCCATTGGTTGAGCACTGTCCACCCATCCTTTAGAGAAGAAGCAAAGACTTAAGTGAGTCTGCTGCTGAGTGTCAGAGAGTGAAAGGAGTGTGTCCTCTACTGGTTCAACATGTACAAAGTTGTATCCTGTCTAAGTGGCCGCTGTGCAGGACTCACAGGACAGTCCTGCTGTTCACCCGGTTTGGCCAAAATTCACCTGGGAAGTGGTGAGTTACCATGGAGATTAACAAAAACGTAATTTGTTGATCATGGTCTATTGTTGATGCTTAGGAGGTGGTTAATGTAACCATTATGTTTGTCATAGTAAGCTTGGAATACAGTCTTTATTATTATCATTTCTGATAATTTATATCATCTTGTTAGCTCATGAGTTAATTAGCTAATCAATCAATTCAACTTTATTTACATAAAACCCATTAAACAGATTACTGCACTTCAAAGTGCTTTTGAAACAATTGACAAATAGGATGTTAAAAAAGTTAAATGTTAAAATAGAAAAAATATATCACAATGATCAACAATGGAATTTTGATTAAAGAATAAATAGATCAAATATCAAATATTAATATATTAAATATAGATTAAATAAAATAAATGATCATGATATATATAAAATGATAAAACACTACATAAGAACCAGACAAAATAGATGGGTTTTTGGTTTATGATAAAAAAAAAAAATCAATATTTTTCAGATCCTCTTGATCCTCTGTCCAGCAGCTTGGAGCATAGTGACTGGAGGCAGCATCGCAAAATGATTTTGCTCTGTTAAAAGATGTAATTAGGTGAGATTAGATTAGAAGTAATGTGTTATAGGACAAGAAAATCTGTGTCCCATACTCAGGAACCAGAAATAAACATTGCAGTAGAGATTGGTGTGCCACACTAGCTTATGTATTCAGTGCTATTCAAAAATAGACTGTCTCAGGTACATTATGCAAACAAGACTTGAAATGATGATGTAAGACTTAAGGCATCAAATTAATAACAAAATAAAAACTTGCAAAGATATAATTCTGCACCCACTGCAGTCAAATAGTCAAATTATCAAATTTGTAACATGAGTGATCAAATGAAGGGTGTATCGTCAAAATGTAACAAAATTTCTCCAGCAGATAACAGCATTTATTTTTTCAAAAATATCAATTATATATCTGAGTTCTGGTCAGACTGGGGTAATCAAGTTGTATTTCCTGTGATACATGAGGTGAAGGTAATGTTTGTTAAGTATTAACCAGATTGTAAGATGATCAATCATTGACAAGATAATTCAGAATGAAAACATCAGATACAACTATAATGTTTTACATCAGATGTGTTTTTCTTTAGATAATAAATAGCCTGGTTTCAGATCTCTGGGTGGCCACCCACATCTGATTTCTATTTTTCTATTCACTGGCAAATAGCAAATCAGGCTAAACTATAGGTTCTAGATCAGAATGAAATTTAATTTAGTTTCAAGACCTCACAAATGTCATAATAAATATCATAGTAAGGCTTTGATCAGCTCATGGAGTTCTAAAAAACTAGATAATCCCTTTTACCTTTTTCTGAATTTCAATCAAAACCATTTCACAGGTGCAGTATGTCAGAAACCAGCCTTCAAATACCGTCCTGCAGACGTCCCAGAGATGCCCTCATGTACTTTCAAACCAGAGAAATACAAGGTAAGAGTTGTGGCACCCAGACAGTGTCTGCCCCGCACTGTTGGGTCCTTTATTTTGTGATGACGTCCCTAAAAAATCTAGAATACTTTTATGCTATATACAGAGTTGGTGCACTAAAATATTCATCTTAACTTGGCAGGTGCTGCATGTGATTTTACCCCAAAATTAACCAGAGAACCTGAAATTATCAGCACACACTACAATATCTTGTGGAGCTTTTGGCCACTAAATCAAATCAGCTTTATTGATCCTTTTCAGGAAATTGATTTGTTGCTGCAGCAACGACACAACAGCCACAACAACATGCAACCAAAAAGGACAACACAATACTTGTTCAGTGCACCACAGAAAAAAATCACTAAGAAAATACTAAAATATAGGACGGAGTAATGTTTTGTGTCATGTTTTCTTCCATTGCAAACGTGAGATATTTTACTGGTTAAAGGCCCGATCAAATTCGACATATGATTGAGTTTATCTGCATGTCCTTGGAAAATTGCTGTTGCGAGAAGCTTGCTGTTGTAGGGAGTAGCTTACAATAAGGGATAGCTTACAAACTAATGGCTACCACAAGTCAGTTACAATTATGGTCACAATACCTCTCTCATTGTACCATCATTTATACAAAGAATTTAAATCAATGTGAGAGTTTTAAATGGGTTTACTTGACTTCCCTAGTTGCTGCAATTCCATTTCAATGATTCACCTTTGCCTCAAAATTGTGCCGTTTTAAAGGCTGGTGTGACAAAGCTTTATGCGCCTGTTGGCGGCGCTGCAAAAGCCAGGGGTTCAACCAAATAATCAAGTCACATCCTCTGGAGCACATAAATGTCTGTACCGAATTTCATGCCAATCTATTTTCGTCTTTAAGACATTTCTCTTATTGAGAAGGTCTGTCCGAGAAACTTAAAAAAGGCTATGATCCTTCTGTACTGTAACTCTCCAATGTATTTACATTTATTCAGGGTATGTCCAAAGAGCGGATGATGGAGATCCGCAGGCAGAACTGCAACCCGATGACCATGAAGATTACCTATTATAAGAAACCAGTGTTCCTCCACCAGGGATACATGCAGTGGCTGTGGGATGTGGACGGGAAACGATATCTGGATCTGTTTGCTGGTGTAGCGACTGTCAGTTTGGGACACTGCCACCCGTAAGGTCCTTTTTCTTTACAGTGAAAGCATTTTGAACATCACTGTTCATTGTTGCTCTGACCCTGACATCTGTGGGTATAGGAAGGTGACAGCAGCTGCACAGAGGCAGTTGGAAAGACTGTGGCATACTACAAACATCTACGTCCATCCCACTCTCCATGAGTACTGTGAGAAACTAGCCTCCCACTTACCGGAACCTCTTAAGGTACTGCAGTGGATTTTAACAGCAGAGGGCAAGTCAGCTGTAATTTAAATGCCTCCTGTTCTCTGTTTCCCTGTCCAGGTGATATACCTGACCAACAGCGGCTCAGAAGCTAATGACCTAGCTATTCTAATGGCTCGACTTTACACGGGCAACTTTGACATCATCACTTTCAGGTAGAAGTCTTATCCTTATGTGTTTTATCATTACATTAAAATTAAGGGTTTTTTTTTGCAATACTTGCTAAAAATATTCAAAATGTATTATTTTTCTCTCTCCAGAGGATCCTACCACGGTGGCACCCAACCTACCATGGGTCTGACCTCCAACTCTTCGTATAAATACCCCATTGCCACTGGTTTAGGCTGCGCAAATGTATGTATACACTGATGTACTGCAGTGTCAGGTCTTCAGTCTTTGACTAGCATGCCCTTCTCTCAGTCAACAATGAGTGTATCTTCTAAGTGCTTATTCATTCAATGACTCATTTGCAGGGCTGCCCAGGCTAGCAGCAATTATGTTCATCCTAAATTTAGGTAATACATAACCAAATTTATTTTGATACAAAATATTCATTACTAATTAAAACAACAATAATAAACAATGTCATTAGAGAGACTATGAGTAAAGACCCTGACACAATAAGCTGACGGTCAGCTGTCAGTCAATGTTGGGCCATTGGTGAGCATTTGTTGTGGTCGTGGATGTGGCGGGCCCCGCACTCTTTCTCCCTGTTGCCCCTTGTACGCTTTTTTTTTATTCTTTTGGTCTATTTAGCGTGTTAAATCGGCAATGGCATAATGGCATGTCAGTCTGATTGTCAGTTCAGCTCAGTGCACAGGAAGAAAAACGAAAGTGAGGAAAGTAAACAAAAAGCTGAAGTCATGAGGAAGAAAGACCAAAAAAAACCTTTTTTTATTATATTTCTGTAACCGCTCTTTAGCAGAAATGTCCTGTGATGGTTTGTGTTATTGTTCACTGGAGCACAGTAAATATGCTTTGTTCGGTCAACATTGGATTGTTGAACTAGCATCAACAAGTCTTCCAGTTTCCCAGTACAAACTACTGCAGTCTGTTGGTATGGAGGGGTATGTCCTTTTACAGAGGCACAGAACATACGTGCTAGTAGCCCATCGACTATAGTCTTTGTGGTGTGTTCATGTGCAAATTTTTGACTGAGACACAGGCAACGTGAGGCGACGCAGCAGGGGGCTTTCGTCGCCGCTAGTTCTCTAAAGTTGGTTTGGTGTATCTTGGCCTTAAAGCAGATTTTGGGGGAGCCATTAACTCGACCTTATCAGGGGCCCAACCATATTGTGGGGGCGGTCCTAGTTGTTTGTACATGTACTGAACACCTCTAGCACACTTAGATTTTATTTTATGGGTATTTTGATGACAGCATTGACATGACCAGTGTCTTTGATCTAACTTTCATTCATGATATATTTCATAGGGACAGATACAATAAATAAGGACAAACAAAAAACTATCCAATGCAAGTTTAATAGTGTCTATGGAAGAGCTTTTAAGAAATAGACTGAGATAGAAGTAAGGTAAACTGAATAAAGCAGATTTCAAGTGATCAGGTGGGAAGGAAAATGCTGTCTGAGCAAACAATGTTTTGCAGAAGGCAACCTTACAACTTGATGCTGCTCTGGTGGATCTGCTAAAGCTCTGTAATCTCTTGATGAATTCGCAGAAAGGCTGAGGAGTAAGTCCAACAGTGTGCCCCGTCCATGCTGCTACACACATCATCCAAACACAAACACATAATGCCATCACTAATGAATCTATGCTGCTTACTAGCCAGCTGTTAATAGATGCAATAAACTGCATGTGGGCATTAATTGAGCTTTCTGACTTTGCCTTTTACGTTGTGTAAGTCAGTGAAGGTTATATTGCTGTGGAGTTCCTTGGTGATTTCTCTGTGCTGCATTCATCGTAAGTAACTGTCGCTGTCAGGTTGATCTAGCTGACAAGGTTTCTGCCCAAACAAACAGACCATGTGTCCTGATGTGTTCAGAGGCCCGTGGGGAGGAAGCCACTGCAGGGACTCTCCTGTGCAGACCATCAGAGAATGTAGCTGTGCCCAAGGTACACAAACACACACATCCATGGCTCAATACACTCAGACTATCTCTTAGTGTCTATGGACTAAACATCACAATCCCATTTGCAATATTTCTACATAAGTTAATGCAAATTATCATATAATTATTATATTATATGACTTGTATTTTATTATTTTAGAATATATAAATCAATGGCATCACATACAATACAGAATGCATTCTATTCCAACACAGAATATGCCCACCCACCATCCTCCCAAAGCAAAGAGGGGTCATCTGAGCAATATGGTGGCTATGTATATCTCAAGCAAGAATAAATAAGTAAATAAATAAATAATGATAAAAAATTTTTTTTAGAAATAATAATAATAATTTAAAAAAAAAAGTAGTAAATAAATAATAATAACTTCTATTCAAGACAATTATTGAGCATTCAGTTATTTTTTACATTGGTACAAATATAGTGTCAAGGTACATGCCCCACTTCAGGAAATACTTATCCGCTCTGTCCTGCATCCTATATGACATCCTTTCATATGCAGCTACTTTACATAATTCAGTCACCCAGTCCTGGAAAGAAGGTTCTCCATGTTTCTTCCAGTTCCTGAGAATGATCTGTCGCCCAATCATGATAGCAGTTTGTGTCCAGGATTTTAGTGGACAGGGAAAAGCAGAGAGCACTTTACAGTCTCCTAATATATATATATATAACTTGGGGCAGAGGACAAACTGTCCTTTTATGACATTGACAATATAACAGTGAATCTTCATTGTACCTTCATCCACACAACACTTCCAACAAGTAGCTGAATCTTTTAAACCAAGTCTGAAGAGCCCACTCGGGGTCCAATAAAATCAATGTAGAATCTTTAATTGAATAAGTCTAACCCTCAAGTCCCTTGACATTGTTCGGGAATTACCACAAACCTTAGCCCATTCCTGTTCATCATATTTTACCCCCAAGTCTCTTTCCCAGGAAAGTCTCAGGGCTGAGATCCCTTTCTCCCCCTCACATTCCATCAGCATCTTATAATATTTAGCTGCTTCGTGGCCTTTCCGCAGTATCTGGAGGATTTTATCTAACTTTTCTGCTGGCTTTGGGGGGTGTAACCTCGGCCCAAAAGTCCTCTGTAGTACATGGCATAATTGAAGATATCTCCAGAATTGGGTTTTGGGTAAATTATAATCCTGTTTCAGGTCATCAAATGTTTTAAATGTATTGGCATTGTATAAACTGTCTAATATAAGGATGCCTCTTTCTACCCAATCCTTTCAAATGAATACTTTTTTATTAATGTTTAGCTTAGGATTTAACCAAATACTAGCAGCCTTGTTTAAATAAGGATGGAAATCTATCAGCCCTGAGATCTTTCTCCATATACCTTGAAGATGAGATACAACTGGATGAGTCTTTATATGTTTAGATCATTTGATGGACAAACAATGGAGGAGAGGGAGGGGTGTCAATGCAGACTACTCTGTACTGTACCATGGGGGGGCTCTCTCTGGAGGTAGGACCCAGTGCGCCAAGTGCCTGAGATTAAATGCATAATAGTAGTGTACTAAATTTGGGAGCCCTAAGCCACCACTGTTGACTGGCCTTTGTAGTTTTTTCATATTCATACGTGCTCGTTTCCCATTCCACAGAAATTCTTTAAATATATTGTTGAATCGTTTGAAGTAACTGTCCGGGATTTTTAATGGCAGAGAGTGAAGCAGGTAGTTAATCCTGGGGACGCAGTTCATTTTAATGACGTTAACTTTTCCCCAGAAAGACAGATACAGTGATGACCAACGTTTCACATCAATGTCCAGTCCCTGTATCAAGGGGTCAAAGTTCACCTTAATACTCGTACTCGTCTGTACTCGTACTCGTCGTCTTCCGCTTATCCGGGTCCGGGTCGCGGGGGCAGCAGCCTCAGCAAAGAAGCCCAGACAGTCCTCTCCCCAGCCACTTCCGTCAGCTCTTCCGCGGGAACCCCGAGGCGTTCCCAGGCCAGCCGGGTGATGTAGTCCCTCCAGCGTGTTCTGGGGCGGCCCCGAGGTCTCCTCCCGGTTGGACACGCCCGAAACACCTCCCAAGGGAGGCGTCCGGAAGGCATCCTTACCAGATGCCCGAACCACCTCAACTGGCTCCTCTCGATGTGGAGGAGCAGCAGCTCTACTCCGAGTCCCTCCCAGATGTCTGAGCTCCTCACCCTATCCCTAAGGCTGAGCCCAGCCACCCTGCGGAGGAAACTCATTTCGGCCGCTTGTACTCACAATCTCATTCTTTCGGTCACTACCCAGAGCTCGTGACCATAGGTAAGGGTTGGAACGTAGATCGACCGGTAAATCGAGAGCTTCGCTTTCTGGCTAAGCTCCCTCTTCACCACAACGGACCGGTTAAGCGCCAGCATCACTGCTGACGCCGCCCCAATCCGCCTGTCAATCTCAAGATCCCGAGATACTTAAACTCCTCCACCTGAGGAAGGACCTCCCCCCCGACCTGGAGTGGGCAATCCACCCTTTTCTGGCCGAGGACCACGGCCTCAGACTTGGAGGTGCTGATTCTCATCCCAGCCGCTTCACACTCAGCTGCGAACCGTCCCAGCTGGAGGTCACTGTTCGATGGAGCTAGGAGGACCACGTCATCCGCAAAAAGCAGGTACAAGATCCTCCCATCACCAAACCTGACACCCTCCACCACTCGGCTGCGCCTAGAAATTCTGTCCATAAAAGTTATGAACAGAACCGGTGACAAAGGGCAGCCCTGGCGGAGTCCAACCCTCACCGGGAACAGGTCCGACTTACTGCCAGCCACGCGAACCAGACTCATGCTCCTTCGGTACAGGGACTGGATGGCCCTTAGCAAGGGGCCACCAACCCCATACTCCCGGAGCACCCCCCACAGGATGCCCCTGGGGACACGGTCGTAAGCCTTCTCCAAATCCACAAAACACATGTGGACTGGTTGGGCAAACTCCCATGCCCCCTCCAGCACCCTGGCGAGGGTAAAGAGCTGGTCCACGGTTCCACGTCCGGGACGAAAACCACATTGCTCCTCCTCAATCTGAGGTTCAACTATCGACCGGACCCTCTTCTCCAGCACCCTGGAGTAGACCTTACCGGGTAGGCTGAGGAGTGTGATCCCCCTGTAGTTGGAACACACCCTCTGGTCCCCTTTCTTGAAAATGGGGACCACCACCCCGGTCTGCCACTCCAGAGGCACTGCCCCCGATGTCCACGCAATGTTGCAGAGGCGTGTCAGCCAGGACAGCCCTACAACATCCAGAGCCTTGAGATATCCAGGACGAATCTCATCCACCCCCGGGGCTCCGCCGCCTCGGAGTTGTTTCACTACCTCAGCAACTTCTGCCCCAGAAATTGGACGACCCGCCCCCGAGACCCCCGTCTCTGTTTCCTCACTGGAATACGTGTTGGTGGGATTGAGGAGCTCCTCAAAGTATTCCTTCCACCGCCCGACAATGTCCCCAGTTGACGTCAGCAGCTCCCCGCCCCCACTGTAAACAGTGTGAGCAAGTTGCCGCCTTCCCCCCCTGAGGCGCCGGACGGTTTGCCAGAACCTCTTTGGAGCCGATCGATAATCTTCCTCCATGGCCTCACCGAACTCCTCCCACGCCCGAGTTTTTGCCTCAACGACTGCCGCCGCTGCGCTCCGCTTGGCCCGCCGGTACCCGTCAGCTGCTTCCGGAGACCCACAGACCAACCATGCCCTGTAGGCCTCCTTCTTCAGCCTGATGGCTCCCCTCACCTCTGGTGTCCACCAGCGGGTTCGGGGATTACCGCCGCGACTGGCCCCAGCGGCCTTGCGGCCACAGCTCGCAACTGCCGCCTCGACAATGGCAGAGCGGAACAAGGCCCATTCGGACTCAATGTCCCCCTCTGCCCTCGGGACGCGGTCGAAGCTCTCCCGGAGGTGGGAGTTGAAGATCATCTGGACAGGTTCTTCCGCCAGGCGTTCCCAGCAGACCCTCACTGTTCGTTTGGGCCTGCCAGGTCTGCGCGGCGTCTTCCCCCACCATCTGATCCAACTCACCACCAGGTGGTGATCAGTTGACAGCTCTGCTCCTCTCTTCACCCGAGTGTCCAGAACATATGGCCGCAGGTCAAATGATACGACTACAAAGTCGATCATTGACCTGCGACCTAGGCTGTCCTGGTGCCACGTGCACCGATGGACATCCTTATGTTTGAACATGGTGTTAGTTATGGCCAAACTGCGACCCGCACAGAAGTCCAATAACTGAACACCACTCGGGTTCAGATCTGGCAGGCCGTTCCTCCCAATCACGCCCCTCCAGGTCCCGCTGTCATTGCCCACATGAGCGTTGAAGTCCCCCAGCAGAACAATGGAGTCCCCGGTCGGGGCACTGTCCAGCACCCGTCCCAGGGTCTCCAAAAAGGGTGGGTACTCTGAACTGTTGTTCGGTGCATAAGCACAGACAACAGTCAGGACCCGTTCCCTGACCCGAAGGCGCAGGGAAGCAACCCTATCAGGGGCAAAATGCCCCCGACAGCATAGCTCCTAGGGTCATTACTTAACACTCAAAGCACTCAAACTCCTCCACCACAATAAGGTGACGGTTCTCGGACCTCACCTTAATAATATCCTCCAAATTAGAGGGAAAAAGGATACCAAGATATTTTAGCCCCTGCTTAGGCCATCTAAATCTGCCAGCTTGAAAGAGTGTGGATGGGCAATGCTTAGTTAATGGCAGAGCCAGTGTGAGTGAAGACAGTCTCCCTTTAACTGATGTTGTGGTTCGGCGTATGTCCTCAAGGCTGGCTAGGTCGCTGGAAATTTTTTGCAGTGTGGCAAAGATATTAGCAATGTCCTGGCTGACACGAGCTGCCTCTGGGGCCTCTGAGCCGCTGTCGTCGCCATCATGGTGTGCGTGTTGCTGCCACAAATGCTTCTTAATGTCCCCGCTTTTGAGTTGTTTTGCCAACTTATGTGACCAGGAAAGTTTTTAAGTACAAGACACGTTTGTTTAGTTATTGTTAGGTACTAATTGTAGGATTAGCTTAACGATGCTAGTCGGAGCTTCTGCTCAGGCAGCCACCTTTACCAACCGCGTCACGTGACTCCAATGCAAATTATTTTTAACTTCCACAGAAAATGACGATATGAGACATTTGTCAATACTTTTGTATCACACAGGAAGACATAACAACTTATTAAATAATTGCTCAGCCCTTAGCTGCTGTAAAGTCACACTGTAGGAACTATTTTGGGAACACTGCATTTTTACAGGCTAATTTGTCACTACAACAGTTTTCTTTAATCCCACAGGTCATTGCATGGCCAAAGACCAATACATTGGTCAGCTCAAAGAGACATTTGCTAGTAGCGTCCCAAGTCGAATTGCTGGTTTCTTTGCAGAGCCGATTCAGGTATTATATTCTGTGTTGAATTTTAATTTTGAGAAAATCAAAAAATAAAATCTTTGTTGAGTCCTTTATAAGTACGCCATCCATTTTCACTGTTTCATCTTCTGTATGACTGCCTGTGTCAATTAGATTGGACTGTGAAATATGAATGTGTTTTGCTTGTACAGGGAATGGGAGGAACTGTGCAGTACCCTAAAAACTACCTCAAGGAGGCTTACCAACTTGTGAGAGACAGAGGAGGGATCTGCATCGCTGATGAGGTTTGATATATATCAAATTATGTTATTTATAATTTCAATTTATAAAAAAGAAAAGAAACTAATCTGTTTTGCATGTGACAGGTCCAGAATGGATTTGGGCGAACAGGAAGCCACTTCTGGGGTTTCCAAGGTCACAATGTCATTCCTGATATGGTTACAATGGCGAAGGGCATTGGTAATGGATTCCCAATGGGAGCTGTTGTGACGACACCAGGTGAGAGAATACTGTAAGATACAAAAACCTTGTCTGAAGCAGCAGTGAGTGTAGGTGTGAGCGTGTTTTTTTTCATGTTTTCCAGAAATCGCTGCTTCCTTTGGTAAGGCCCTCCACTTCAACACCTTTGGAGGAAGTCCTTTGGCTTGTGCCGTTGCTTCAGCAGTGCTTGATGTAAGACCTTATCTTCTCCTTCCACATCAGTCCTCTTCATCAGAAAAAGGGTTTAATTTAATCAAAATCTAGATTTGTATTATTACTGTAGCTGCTGTTGAAAAATCCATAATCACTTAAGTACACTTAATGTAATAAAGATGTGATCTCAGCTGCACTTAAAACACAACTGACAGATTTTTCCTCGACAGACGATCAAAGAAGATGGCATACAGCAGAACACTCTCACTGTGGGCACCTATCTGCTGACAGGACTGGGAAAACTCAGAGACAAGTATGAGATCATTGGTGATGTCCGTGGAAAGGGGCTGCAGATCGGTGTGGAAATGGTCAAAGACAAGGTACTGAGTTTGTAACGGAAGAGACACTCACCTCCCCTCACATTACTATGGTTACTGTAACACATCTAGCCTCATTTATCCTGTCACCTCCTATGTGTCATCCACAGGCCAGCAGAGACCCACTGCCTCCTGAGGCAATGAGTCAGATCTTTGAGGACGTCAAGGACATGGGAGTCCTGATAGGGAAAACAGGAGTCTACGGACAGGTAACAACATTTAATTTGAATTTTGAAGTAGCCTCTTCCGCTGTCTGTATTTTGCATCTTCTGTTAAAATTAGTTGCAATTTCCGCAGTTTTCCATACACTCTACACATTAAATAACTACTGTTATGAGCAAATTCTTAATTGCAATCGTTAACTTAAAGGTTTAACCAGTCAATGAGTACTCCCATTATCTCTGCCTCTTATCATGTGTGCCAGAAATGTCTGCAGTACCTGCTCTGCCGTCAGTATGAGACACAGCACAAAGCACCTGACCCTGTAACGCGCATTTCACTAAAAATCTCTCCTTTTGTTTTCTTGTTTTCTCACCACTTCAGAACTTTCGCATTCAGCCCCCCCTGTGCATCACAAAGGAGGACGCCGATTTCTTCCTGGCAGTTTTTGACAAGGCCGTCCACAGCTACATGGACAGAAACTGAATAGATCAGAGTAACTCGATGCCAAGGACCAAATCTGGAGACCTGCCCAGCAGTGGCCTGTGTTTTTGAAAATCTTTTAAAATGTAATTATAAACTTTTGCCTTGGTGTAGCTGTGTATTATATCCTAACTTTTAACTTAACCATGATCTGCATGTTGCAGTTATAAATATGCCTTCACTACAGTCACTCCAGCTCACATTTGCTTTCTTTCACATTAAGGTCTGATAATGATTAAACACACTAAGCATACACCTTATACATGTCTTCTGCTGTGTTTAGACCTACTGAATAATATATATATATTTAGAATTGTTTTGCAGACTATATATCTGAATGTAATAATTTAAAGTCTGATTATATTTTTAAATAAATATTTGCTTAAATGTGCCATTTTTTGTCTCCAATAAAACCACATATTAAAGGTTCAGGTGTGTTTTGTACAGACACACCACACACAGGGGTTTATTGTTAGTCATGGTTACTAGTTGCATTAATAGGAATCGATCCAGAGTTGTTGTATAAATACCAACGTGCAGTTTTTTATTTTCATGATGCAGTAATACTACAGAGCTCTTCATGCCAACCATGAGGGATGAATGCCAAAACGTTAGAGAATCTGATGATAACAGGGATAAAGGTGTGTACTGTGCACATCCTGTATGGGTTGTCTTTACTGGTTTCTCAGTGCAGAGATGTTCATAAATTGCTTGGAAAGGTAAGTTTCAATCATGGCAATCTGGAAGACTCATACGACAAAATAGTCTCAAGCACTCACACATTCATAACTGTCTCACTGAACAGGATTATTGTGAAATAAAAAAAAAACCTAAATGCTCTCTGTCAGCCAAACAGTCCGTTAAAAGTCCACTCTCACAGGCTTTTCTTTTAATTAATTTTCCGTGGTTTCCTGTGTCTCTGCCAAGTCACACTCTTCCAGGTTTGTCCGCCCATTTGAAGATGTGTTATCTGCTCTTCTTTTTGTCTTTCTTGCTCTTGCTCATGGAGCTGTGAGTAGCGTTTGAGGTGACAGCAGTGGCGTGGCCGCTGGTCTTCAGATGATCAAACAGCTTGTTTCTTGTGGAGAACTCGTTGTTGCAGGTCACACAGCGGAGGTTTACTTCCTTCTGGAGGTGAAAATGGGGATGTGTGATTTAATTATACAAGTATGGATCAATCATTTTCTTACAATAAATAATGTAATCAGGTCCTTCATGACAACTTAAAGGGAGGGAAAAGGAAAAACTGATCCTGTTAAGACTGACAAATGTAGACACGTGTGGGCAGAGGAGATTCATAATAATAGATACATTGAATGAAAAATGGTGAACAATAACTCCAATAAAATCCTCTTAAACTCTGGGTTTAACTGTACAAACCTCAGTGATCTGTTCTCCTCCTGTGTTTGACTTGACATTCTTTGGCTTGTCTTTTCCTCCAGCCTTCTTTCCTTTCGTCTTCCCCGAGCTGCTGAGGCAACATTTAGATGAAAAAATTACATTCTAAACTGCAAGGCATACGTTGTTACGTTTTAAAACTCTAAACTTATGTTATCCTGATTAATTTAATAACCTATTCCTCTATTTCACACAAGGTGTGTGAGGGTATCAGACAATTAAATTTAATGCTTTTAAAGGCCTTTTCAAGATCATTTTTACTACATTTAAAATAGATTTTTTGAAAAATCAGATCTTTCTTATTCCGGCATTGCAGATAAGTATAAGTGCAAGTAGTCATTCATTTTGACAAAAAGAAATTAAAAGATGGATAAATGAGTTTGTGGCAATTAAGACTATTAAATGACTTCCAAGGTCTAATATTTAAAAATCGGGTTTAACTTTTTAAGGACCTGCACACCCTGTCACATAAAGAATGGAGTCATTGCTTTCCAAGTGTCCCTGAAACATTCTCATTACCACCTGACTGTGCAGTTCATCTCAGCTCTATGGAGCATTTTAGCATTTTATAACTCATTATTTTGTTTTGACACCCCACAACTCCACTGCCATTAAGCTCATCACCAACAGGCAGTTGTTGGAAGCAAAAAAACTCCAATAAACCAACTTTATACAACCTGCCAAGCACCAAACAACTAACAGATAAAGCTGGACTGACCTCTTCTGACTGACTTCTGTGGGAGGAGGATCATCCTGCGTCTCAGGCTCTGTAGTGTTCTCTGACTTCTCTGGGGCTTCTTCCTCACAGGTGGTGGGCTTTGGTTTCTCCTCCTCCTCCGCCTCCTCTGGTGCACTCTGCTATGGAGGAGGAGAGCATGAATAGAGAAGGCTTTTAAGACAGATTCACTTCACAGTAAACCAGTCACAGGCTGCTGAACGAATGAAAGATGTTACTCACCTGCACTACTTTCTGCTGTTTCTTTTTCCTCTTTTGCTTTTTGGACAGCCTGTGTCAGTGAAACAATATTTCAGACGTTATGTAAAAATTCTGATGCGTCACAAGTTTTAACAACCCCGACAACCAGGTGAAAATTAAGTAAGTAAGCTACACACTTTTGCCTTGGCTTGTCTTCCTCCTCGTCTTCCTCCTCCTCCTCCTCTTCTTGCCCATTTTCTTCCTCTCGTCCATCCTTTTCATCCACGTTCAAACCAAGTGACTCCTCTTCTTCCTGCAGCTGTTGCCGCAGCAACGCCACCATCTCCCGATGCTTTTTGGATTTTTCATGGTTTTTCATTCTGCAGAGAGCAAAGAGAATAATATAAAAGGTATTAATAACACAGATTTAACAGTGTGTGAAGAGCTTGAAACCACTTTACTGATTTGTATTATCACCAACAAGTATTAACATAATCATTAAAAATAATTAGATATTTCCGAATGCAAAAGCTAAATTTGCCAAATTAGGGCACTTAAGGAATACTTCATCCACAAAATTATAATTTATATATCAGTTACTCAGTGTTGTGTTGCACTCTTTAAGGAAACGTTTTTCTCGCATGCCCCCATGGTAAATAAAGAATTCAAAAACTGAGAAAATTCTTGATGAATTAAAGTAATTTGGGTCTGCATTTAACAACAGCAAAACAATGTCAAAACATCCATTTAGAAACTCTGACAAAACTTGTGGAGTATAATCCAAGTCTCACTCATCAAGTCGTTTGCGCAATGCTTCCCAAACACATGCATTTTCACTAAAACGTAACAATATGAAAAACTTCCACCTACATGTAGCGCGCACTGAGCATTGTCAGAGCTGGCTCAACAAACAAACGCAAGAGGGAATGTAACTGCAAGGGATATTTATTTAACAAACGTAGTCAACAGAAACTAAGGCTAACAAAATACAACAATCTATATCTGTAATGTGGAATGTCAGCAGTGACTGCGGGTGCATGGCTGTGTGTGTGTGTTGGATGCAAGCTAAAATGAAAAGGGACAACAGGTGAGCTGCAGGGTCAAGCTGGGAATGGGAAGCCAAGAGAGAGACCGGGCGGATTCCACAGGTGTTCATAGCCGCAGCCCCGCCCACTAAGGCACACACCGGAGGCCCATGATCAATCATGCTCTGAAACAGAAAGGAGAGAGGGCGAGCAAGACACCACATACGCACACATACAGATCCAAACAACCCCACCCCACTTGGGGTTGTCACAGCATGCCTAAACATGTGCAAGAATTTGAGCTTGAGCAGAGTTCACATGTATGTACATGCCCGGCATACGTCTTGTCTGTGCGTGAGACTATTTGTATGGATGTCTTTTCACCCTTTGTGGTCAAGGGTGTAATTGATCGTTTTTGACAACTATTGATAGTACCTTTAAATACCACCTTAAAATCTGTTCACGTTGCCTTGTTTGGTGTCTTTTTTTAGCACAACCTCACCTGTGTGACTTTGCAATTATTTTTTCATTTTGACATACTGTATTAGCACATTGGACAACACCACCAATAGGAAAGGGGGTGTCATGTTTTTTTTTGGCTTGCAGGCACTTTCTGCTTGTGAGCATTTTCTGCTTGTGAGCACTTTCATTAGAATAGCTTGTTGTTGTTGTTGCCTATCAACACAATTTAAAAGCGGTATATAGTTTGAAGTTTCTACTTCTGTCACAAGTTGAAACAGAGACTCAGCGAGGCTGCCTCTTGCTGCTACGCCATCTTACATTGGTCATGTGATTGGGACACACCGGCATGTCCATGGACTCCAGAGGGTTAAATAGTGAGGTTTAAAGGAAAATGCATGTGTTTGACTGGTTAAATGAGACCTGAATTATACTGCATGCGTTGTGTTTTGCTATTGCAAATTGTGAACCTCCTTTACCTTTTTAGGATTCTTTGGTTGCTGTAGAGACATGCAAGAAAGACATTTTCTTCACAAATTAAGCAATATCACACTCGAGCTCGTGATGTTGTACTGTGATATCGTCACTGCTGTGATTCGGTCGTAGGCACGAGGCCGCAGGACAAAATAGATAATTTAAGCATTTTATTTGTCTTCCGCCAACAAAAATAGTTCCCTCAGGACTCCGCAGTCACCGTTGCTATGTAACGCAGACATGGTGCGCCAGGCACTTACTCTTTATACACATTTATCTGCACTTTTCCATTAATTGTGCAGCTGGTGAAATAAGTCTCTGGTGACTGCATGGTGGACTGTCGCTTCACAGGCACAGCCGACTCTGCCTTCTGATCTGACAGTATGTTGCTTTTCTCCAAGTCATTGAGCTCCACTGATGAAACACTGACAAACTTGGATGTGTTCTCAGATGGATTCATTTTCTCCTCTCCCTCATCTTCCTCTGATGACCATTCATAGTTCAATTCAAAACTTATTTTAGGAAATAAATCCATATTTTTGGCTGTTTGACAGTGGATGAATTAATTAGCCTACAACGCAACTGCTGACCTAACTGACACTAACCGTCAGTTTTGATTTGATTGTTGATTGATTGTGAGGCGGAGTGATACATACACAGTGAAATAACCGTGATGTTGTACTCCAATATCATCACGGTTTTACTGTCTCTCGACCAATCAGATTGCAGGACCGGAACTAACTGTTGTATAATTCAAGGTAACACATGGTTAGTAATTGATATACAAATGGTCATTTTGCTGGTGTAGTATTTTTCAAGCCCAAAGAAATCAGTCATTTCAAACTGTATCATTTGTTTTCCCTGTGCAGTACCACTGAGTAAAGAATATGAAAACAAAACATTAACAAAAGCTTTGAGAGGCTTCGAGCAAGTTGATGAGTCAGAACCAAATCAATTAGAAGATTCCACCAACACATCCTGTAAACAATGATAATGAGCTTTCCATTCAAGTTTGACATGTATAGTTTTGCTCCATTGTTCAGTTTCATTGTTGGGAATATTACTCCCTTTGCCACAGAGAGCACAAAGAAAACAAAAGTTTTCAGCAAATTAACAACTACAATCGTTTAGGAGTGTAAAAAAAAAAAGATTTATTATTACTTCTCCACAGATTCAGTCACATCACATCCACTGCGTCACTAACACTTTCTAATACCAGGCTGAAATCAATGAGTCACCACTGCAACACTGCATCTGGACCATGTGTGGGTTAATCGCTGCTATAATCAATCACAGCTTAGCGAGGTGAATTAGCATGTAAGTGCAGAGTGTGGGTGATAGGTTACTCACGCTTTATCTGATTTGAAGGATTTGTCACAGGCTGGGCAGTACAGACCATCATAATAATCATCGATTGTCAGTTCGTCTCCATCAGGCTGCTCTGCATCTGGGAATTAATAATTATGGGTTGAAAAATAATTAAAGGCACCACAAACACATACAAACATGTAAAGTTGGTGACATCATTGGCTCATCTGATGGTCCATGCTAAGTATTTCCTTCTGCCTGTGAGACCCTGATGTGTAGTTACGTTTTTGAGGAGATGCTTATCGGTTACTGCGTAGCTACAGCAGCGGCTTTAAGTACGACACATCTCCTTAATGCAGAGGTATAAATGAAGCTCAAATCTCAGGCACACAGTCTCACTAACCTCCTTCTTCACAGTTCTTCTCCCGTGTGTCCATATCCAGCTCTTCTTCCTCACTCTCTGATGCATCTCCGAACTCCTCTCCGTACTGAGCCTCTATCTGCTGCAGCTCCTTCTCAAGTTCAGACATGGCCGCCCAGCTCTGCTCCTTGTACTCCTCTGCCAGTCTTTAATGGACATGCAATTTTTATTTATTAAGTATTTATTAAGAGGGGGGAAAACGCCGCAGAAGAATGAATGTGACATTTACCCAACTGACCATCCATCACTTACTTTGCCTGGTTGAGCTTCTGCTTCCGCCTCAGCTCCTCCACCTTCTTGATCTTCTCAGCGTTTTGCTCCTCCACCAGCTTCCTGTGGGCCTGCACGCGCCGGTCACGCTTGCGAACAAAAGCAACGAGTTGTCGCACGAGCTCGTTGCGCTCCTTTCGAGCCTTTTCTCTGGTCTTTTTGTTCTCCTTCTCCATGGCCCTTTTCTCCCAGCGGTTGGAGGCCTGCCTCGTGTCATATTCCTCCTTCCAGGCAAAGTTTTTACGAGTGCAGAAGCTCTGCCAGTAGCCGTAAAACACATGCACCACCTGTAATATGGAAATAGAGACTGATTAAGTACACCAGCTGAATAAAAATCTTTCTGATTCACTATTTCAACTTTTTTTACTCACATATATTACAAAAAACTATTTTATTCACTTAATTAAATTGTAAAAGAACTCTTACATCATCCATCAAAGGAACAACCTCAAGACAAGTGTTTTTAGTGTGGTGCTGGCTTACGGTATCATAGTCGCTCTCAGAGTCTCCAAAGGGAGGAAACTCCTCCTCATCATCCTCATCTTCCACCTTGCTGTGCTCCATCTCCTCCTTTACAATGGACTCAAAGAGATTCCTGTAAACTGTGTAAAAGCCCTAAGAGACAGAGAGTAGATAAAATGAAGAGGTAAAAATTAATGACAAAATAAATATTGGGAGATGTACAAAAAATGTCTGTTACCATAACTCTGACAAATTAAGCTTCTACCACCAATTTAAACAGCAAGTGCTGTATGTCACGTAAAGGACTCATAGTTCTAGAAATTTAGACCAAATAATTCTACCTGGATTTAATCAAAATCTTGGGTTCATTTCCCGTGCTGTTTTGGTAGACTGGCTGTGTGTTCTGGCACAATAAAAGGGAGGCTGAATGGGTTTTTTTCTAGCTGCCCACATTCCTGCAGCCGGTCTATGTGTTGTCATTAGCTTTTTTGATAATCTCACTAATCTCTTACTTGTACAATCAACCAACAAGGACAGAAACTACGACCTGTTATTTAGTTGTATGGTGCCAGAACTCCTGGTTTACACTGACTTTTTTTTAAATCAAGACACTTTCAATCATGGTGTATGGTTTGTGTTTTGAGTTCAAGATTTCATTTCTAGAAGATTAGCAGTGATGTTGATCCTATGTGCGACAGGTGTAAACAGTCTTCAGCCACTTTATGTCACATGTTCTGGTCATGTCCAAAACTATTTCATTTCTGGGATGTAATATTTTAAACTTTTTCAATAATGTTTGGACAGCTGTTTGCCCCATCTATGTCCATGGCATTATTTGGAGTAACTTCTCCAGATGTTGCCATGAACCCAAACGGACATTGTCTCTTTCTGCTCACTTCAGGCTAAAAGGCTGATCCTGTGTAAATTGAAGGACCCTTCACCTCAAACATATGGACATTGGATTAAAGGAGATATGAATCATTTACAATTGGAGAAAATCTGCAGTTTTATTTAAGGATCAACTGCACGTTTCTTTGCCACCTGGCAACCACTTTTAACTTTTGTAGCAAATATGGAAGCTGTAGAATTAGAATAATATTATTATATAAGTTAATTAATTGCTTTTCCTTTTCATTATTGTTTTTGGCTATTGGGTTTCCTTTCCCTGGTCTGGCTTTTTCTGTTTGTTCTTGGGTTGGTGGGTTGGTGGGTGGGTGGGGTTGTTTTTTTTGTCCTTGTTCGTTCTATGTTTGTTTGATGATGATCTCTGCATCTTTATTGAACTATTAATAAAAATACCTTGTTTAAAAAAAGATTTCATTTCTAGGCCATTTGTGCTTATCTCTGTGCCGCTTCATATTTACAGTAACAGTATTTCTTTTCCTCCCCTCCTCAGAATCTAACATAAGCAAAGTAGAGAAGAGATTGGATGATGTTGACTATACATCATAAGTGACATAATTAATTTCTCCTCCACAGGATGAGACTCCAGGGGATGATTGAAAGATGTTTCTTTGGCATTTCCTTGTCTGAAGAAGAGAAGTGAAAAAACAACCACAAACACTAACCTTCTCATCATCTCCGTATCCAGAGAAGCAGCTGACTGTGAAGTACTGCAGCAGGTCAATGCTGTCATCTTCATAATCTCCACTTATGCCTCCTTTCAGAAGAGCCTCCCTGTGATTGTCATACCTGCCACACAGGAGACAGAGCCAACATATTGAACACATACTGTTGTAGGGATATACAATGGCTAAGATATTAATACTTTTGAAATTAGAGCCCTGTCGCTGTTGAGAGGCTAACAGACGTTGAGATGAAACTGTACACACCAAGCTCTCTCCTGAGGATCACTCAGGACATCGTAAGCTGCCTGAATCAGCTTGAACTGCTCCGCTGCTTCCTCAGCATCGTCCAGATTTTTATCTGGAAATATCAAACAGAAACCACAGCTAGTGATAGAGTGAAAAACTTTACAGAAAGCTTTAATGACAATCTTGTTAGGTTTGAGTTAACAGTATCGCATGCTGATGCAAGACTGAAGAACTGAAAGTAGCACAAAGCAGTTTAAAGCATAGCATCTTCACAATTTTCTCATAGTAAAAAAGACATCAGACAAGTTTCAAATGCACATGAATAAATCAATACTATGTCATTAATATATAATGAAGCGTTACAATATCATATACAATACCAAAAGTGGATGCTTCCTTTGAGTAAGTGGTATTTGGCAAGCATAAATGAGGCAAATATTGTACTTTTATTATATTATCATTACACTTAAGTGACAGGTGTACTTGCTGGCTTGACTGCATTAGGTCTTAATGTAAAGCAAATAAAGTCATAAAACTCAAAGTGCGTTTGGAGCCTTAATATACTACATTTCACCATCATAAAGCAGTGTATTATTACAGTGAGATGCCACATTATTCTACAGCTAGACTACAGCTTTTGATATTATACCAATAGTGAATTCAGAATTTTTACCTAAAACAAAGTGTTATATATGAGCAATATTGATACTATTACATCAGGGATACAATCATCCTGCATGTTTAGTCCATAAGGCTTATAACGTTATCATAACTTACCTGGATGCCATTTCAACGCTAATTTACGATACGCTTTCTTCAAATCATCGTCTCCTGCGTCTCGTTTTACACCCAAGATTTCATAGTGACACTTCATGATTGGCTAACTGTAAAAAGAAACTCCACTCTAAGAGAAATACTCAATAAATATGTTGTTCACGTTGTCCCAGCGACGCTAACGTTAGCATGCAGCTATGCTAACTGTAGCATGCTAGCAACCGGGTAGCATATGTATTCTATCTCTTAACCGATCCAGACTTCTCAGGTGGTAGCAACAGCGAGGTAATTACTTGGCCTTACATATTTAAATACGGTATATAAACGGTCTTAAATAACTGTCAAACAGCCTAAATACACTAAATTACTTTTCAATGCCGGTTGTTGGCAGTATAACCAACTGACAAGTCTGTACTGTAGAGTGCCGCTATATATCTCGCGAGAATTGATCTTCTTCACTTTATAATATCGGTAGACTGCAAGCTACAGCCATGTGTTGCTGACCTCTACAGTTCAAATTAAATCAAAATCTTGTTCACTCGATAAACATTATATTATAAGGCTTTATTCTCTCAGGAAAAGACCAATGGGATGTTACTATGCACGTCTAACAATATAAACACTTAAAACTCATGTTCACAATTATGATTCATTATGTTGCCCTCCATTATTTTATGAAATGCATTTCCAGCCAGCCCAAACATGGACTGTAACATCAATTAAATACTACAGTATTAATAATTTACAAGGTACATTGAATACCACATCTCTCTTTATTCCATATTTCTATAATGAATCTGTGATTGTAGATTGATCAGTTATCATACCATGATGCTCTCTGGTGGTGACAGGGACAGTTGCACCTTACTTGCATTTACACAAACCCCCTTTTCATGAACGTTTCAAACTATCTTTTATACATACACAGAGTGGGTATTTTATAAGCTAATTCCAAGAATTCTTTTTTGTTTAAATCTGACCACTTAAGGGTAAAATTAGATTCAGAATTGATGACTACAGCATGTCCTCACTAGCATGTTTCTTTGAGTTGAAAATGTGGTAAACATACAAAAAACAGTTATCTAAATAAATGCAATATGGATAATTTCAAGAAATTAAAGAATTAAGTGATTTATTTTATAGTAAATCATTTTCAGAGGGTTTTGGGGGGACAATATAATCTACTGAATTACTTGTTCATTCCAAATCTTAGACATTTCTGAAAAGAAAATCTAAAATCTGTGCTGAAAATTGATTTCAGTAACATGATAAGAGTATTTATGTCAGTATAGAGTTGTAGGTGATTTTTTTTCTCTCTCAATACTGTGTTCATTTGGTTCATTTTGAATAAACAGAACAAAAATATCCATTAAAAACCCTCCCTTCCACACCACTGACACAAAATTTCTTGGGGAATAAAACCAGAACCTTAAGCATAATATTCACATAAATAAAGTAAAGTATAATAGACAGACTTTACATGATTAATAACATGATTAACAATAATTAAAAACAAAACAATACTGGTACATAAATCTCCCAGAAGGTTACAGTAGCCTATAAACATTGAATTTGTGTGGTAACTATCATAAACACTTACAGAATTTTTTTTTTTTTGTAAGAGGCTACACTTTGAAATGCCAAACTTTTCCTATGTTGTTTATACATTATTGTTTACTGTTTTTGGTTTATGCTTTCTGTGCTTCTGTATATGACGCCATGTGTAGTACCTGCAGTACCACCTCCGCGCCACCAGGGGTCTCTCCCTCTGCTCCACCCGCACGTGTGATGTTTGAGTTGGATTTTTCGCGAGACCCGTGTCGGCGTACAAACATGTCGGCGTTCAAGAGAAAACGTGGAGGACAGGCTCCTGTTAATAAAAAGGCAAAAAAAGTAAAATTTGTCGCAGATGGAGGTGAAGCACCGGCAGAAGCCGAACAAGAGAAGAAAAATGAAGTCACGATTCCAGCACCGGTTTCTTTGGTAAGTGCGCGTGCTTGTTATTAGCCACAGAAGTTGGTAGCTAGTTAGCTAACTGACGTTCACCAATACACGGGAGTTATGTTTTCTGTAAGTTATATATTGTCATCTGTACACTAACACGGTGAACAGTCTGTAACTATAACAAACACATTGAACTGAGTAATTTAATGAGTAACGTTAGTAGGATAAAGAGAAAGTCGTTCACTATAGCATACTCAGTCTAAGAGCAACACTCCTAACATAGGGCAAAGCATACATGTTTGCTCAGTATTACCCGGCGATTATTTAAAAACTAAGAGGCCAACTGGATGAATGGGGCAATGTTTTAAACTCCGTGTTTTAGCTTGTGTTAATGTTATGACATACATTCTCTAAAACAGGGTAAGTGGACCAACAAGGAAAGGGTTCTCATTTTCTCCTCAAGAGGCATCAACTTCAGAACCAGACACTTGATGCAAGACCTGAGGACCATGATGCCTCATGCCAAAGCAGGTTAGTACCATGTTTCCTTCCTTCATCCAGCTACATGTGTTGTTACTGCATTGCTGCTTGTGTTGAGCAGAGATATAGGTTTTGTCAATGATACTGTCATAGCACGGTTTTTCTTTTGTCTGTCAGATACAAAAATGGACAGGAAGGACAAGTTGTTTGTCATTAATGAGGTGAGGTTGTTATTTATTTGGACACATTCTACATAGGGTCAAATATGTGACAGCACAACTAAAGATCATCATTGTTTACAGGTGTGTGAAATCAAAAACTGCAACAAGTGCCTCTTTTTTGAGGCCAAGAAGAAGCAGGACCTCTACATGTGGTGAGTGTTCACTTGCTCCTAAACACTAAGCTGTTCTTAATAATTACTGTTCTAAAGCAATAATATGTAATATTGTTCCTGCCTTACAGGGTTTCAAACAGCCCTCATGGACCTTCTGCAAAGTTTCTGGTTCAAAACAGTGAGTTACTTCTGTCCTGCAATCCTCAAATGCAGAAGACAACATCTGTCATTGGCCATGGGGAAACACTGGTTTATATTATTGTCTCTTCACAGTTCACACACTGGCTGAGCTCAAGATGACAGGAAACTGCCTCAAAGGATCCAGGCCGCTGCTCTCGTTCGATCCTGTGAGTAACACTGGCCGTAATTTAATCTAGAGTATATGTCAGTGAAGGGCAGCTGTGTGCCATAAGGACCTTTTAATTCTGTCCAAACATGACACCAGATTATTTCAATGATTAGCACACAAGTTATTTTGATTCAAATTAAGTCATCTATAACATGTCAGATAAAAAATACTAACCTTTATGCTCCACATCACTGTCCATCTTGGGGGAATGGTCCTGTATTTCCCAGCTGCTTTGACAAACTGCCTAAAATATGCATTTATGCACGTTGACATCTGATAGATCAGTGAAGGTTGCAACTTGTCAGAGTCTGAATAAGAGCTAAACTATTTTGTCTATTTGTTTTCTCCTACAGAAATTTGACACAGAACCACACTTAGCTTTACTGAAGGAGCTCTTCACCCAGGTGTGTATACAAGATGAGGATGCATGTTTTAATACTGATTACACTTTTGGTAATAATTGAGTAAAGCAGATCTTCTGTCCAGCTGCAGCCAGAGGATGACATTGTGGAAATCTGAGAGGGAGCTGTTCAGTCTTATTAAACTGGAATCTTCAACAATTTAACATTTGGTTGCTAATTTTTTTCATTTTAAGAAGTACTCATTACGTTTTACTGTTGCAGACATTTTCCACCCCACGCTACCACCCCAAGAGTCAGCCTTTTGTGGACCACGTCTTCACATTCACCATTGCAGACAACAGGATATGGTTTAGAAATTACCAGGTAATGTTGCACTATTCTTGGCAAAGTCCGCTCTGCTTACGTTAACATTTTACAAGTATTTCATTTGTTTGGGAAGTAAAATGTATCTTCTGTTGTGGGTTCAGTTTTCAGAGACTTTATTTGCAAAGTTAATTCTGCAATCATTTCTGTGTCATGTTCAGATCATCGAGGAGGATGCAGCTCTAGTGGAGATCGGCCCTCGCTTTGTTCTCAACCTCATCAAGATCTTCCAAGGGAGCTTTGGAGGGCCTACGCTGTTTGAAAACCCCGGGTTCAAGTCCCCTAACATGGTACAAATCCAGTGCATGTGATATGTCTGATTAATTACTATCCTACATCATACATTTTCTGATTGTGGATCCTTTCTCTTCACAGCACCGGAGAGAGATCCGACTGGCTGCAGCAGCCAAAGTGCGTGAGAAGCAGATGGTGAAGGAGATGCAGAAAATGAAGAGGGCCGAAGCGAAGGAGGACGTGACCAAAGACGTTACGGCTGACGTCTTTGTAACACCAGCTGAGGAGAAGCCTGTTCACATCCAGACAGAAGCACCAGCGCCAAAGGTGGCGAAGAAAAACAAACACAAAGCTTTCAAAAGACAAAGGATGGCGCGTAGGTAACCAGATGGACTCAATTACAGAGTAAATAGCTCACTGCTTCCATGATTTAATATTGTCTCAAGAAAATGTGGTAATGCAACAGTGCAGTCAGGTCTTAAGTCCACTATTGTGAGCTTTTTTGTTAAGACTATGTGCAGATTGTCAATCAATTATCACATTTAAGAGAATTAGAGATAATCTTAAATCTGCACGTTGTTTTCAGTGTCTGTTGCCATAATCTGTGGATTCACACAATATGTATTTTCCTCCCTCACTCACAAGGACTGTGCAGATTGTAGCTGGTCATTAAGGCCTCAGCTTTTACAACACTGCAAACGATATTTGCCCATCCATTTTGATAAAAGTAAAAATTCTGTCAGTGTAAAAAAAAACGTGTTTATTAAGTTGACTACAGTTGTTTTCTATGTCATGAAAATAAAACAATTTAAACTTACAATCTCCATCTAATTTATACTCCCAACAAATGTTTGTCAAAGGTGTAACTATACACATTCAGTATCAGAAGTGAAGAGCTTCAGAGAAATCTAAGACCTGTGTGTAGGGAAGACTTTCTGTACACATACTACACTAGACAACTGTAGGAAAATGTATTCAAATGTGTCATGTCTTATTTTTATGGGCCTTCAACCAGCTAACTGCATGTGTCAAAGGAAGAAAGGCAGAGAAAGGTCCAGAAAGATGAGCTCAACCACTGTTTGCATTAGACTACAAATCACGTAGCTGCAGGCATGTCAAGGGATTTCTTACTCAAAATACCTGGGTCTCCATAGTAACAAACAACACATTATACAGTAACTGTTGATACAATAGTTTTCCATATCTGTCTGTGAAATTATGTACTCTTAATCACAGTGCTCTAACTACACAGACTGACGTAACGACCAGGTACATTATCTCTGCACAAATCCAGTGGCAATGCTCAGCTCAAATGCAACTGTTGGCAAATGATGAACCAGTTTGGTGATGAACTTTCCCA